AGGAATCCATTCCYTCAAAGGTTCCTCCTAGAACCAATGAGAAGGGAATCCTTGGAGCTGGTCCCACTTCTAATCTGATACTTCCTGGCCCTAAAGCTACTCTTAGTTTTAGGAAGTGTAAACACTGTGGTGAAAGAACACATGTTGCCAGTAAGTGTCCTTCTATCGTCAAAACTGGTTCACCAGTTTTGAGCAAGAAAGTAACCAAAGTTGAGAAATCAACTAAAGTGAAATCTTCCACAAAGACTGCCTCTACAGTCAAGGTGAAGAAAACCACTGAAGCCTCTTCTTTAGGCTTAGTGAAGACAACTTCAGCTGAAGAATCTTCAGTTTCAGACGTTGTAATCTCCACCACTGAAGTCTCTTCGTCAGACTCAGTGAAGACTTCCATTGAAACTACCTTGGTAGTATCAAGGGTTGTTCATCTTTCCATTSAAACCTCCTCAGGTTTAATGATGCCATCTTCTGATAATGATTCGTCAGTATCAGATGATGAAGCCTCTAACATAGCTGGACCCATAGCTGGGTACCAATAGCATTTCTTATTTTGTTTCCTTGTACAGGATGTCAAAGGCATATTGTATCTGGACAGCGGATGCTCAAGTCATATGACTGGAGATACATCTCTTCTAACTCACTTCAAGGAAGAAAGAGGACCTTCCGTTACCTTTGGTGGAAATGGAAAAGGATATACTAAAGGTTTTGGTATATTATCCAACGGTACAACAACTTTCAAACGTGTTGCATACGTTGAAGGACTGAAGCACAATCTTCTTAGCATCAGCCAACCGTGTGATAAAGATTATACAGTTAAATTCCTCAAGAATTCTTGTCATGTTCTCGACARMGATGATAAGGTTGCTCTAACCGGTTCTCGTCTAGAGAATGTTTATATCATCAACATCAATTTTCCTCTCATCGAGAATAGTTGTTTTCTTTCTAAGGCCTCTTCAGATATTAACTGGTTATAGCACAAACGACTATCTCATCTCAACTTCAAGACACTCAGTGAGCTGTCAAGAAATGATCTTGTCACTTGTCTTCCTCAACACTCGTTTGCAAAGGAATCTATTTGCTCAGCCTGTGAGAAAGGAAAACATATGAGGGCTAGTTTCAAGTCGAAACAAATCTCGTCAGTGACCGTGCCTCTTCAGCTATTGCACATGGATCTCTTTGGTCCAGT